AAAAAGTAAGGCTAATTTGTCCTTCAGCCTACTTTGATTTTCATCCAAGCATTCCACACAATAGGACTAGATCAAACATACATTTACGATCGATACTGAGAAAAATGGCATAATACATTAGAATATCACACTTGATATATAATGTCATTCTAGCTTGCAGAAAATGTAATGAGCCTGAACACTCAAGCCAATCAAATGAAACAAGATAATCAAGAGATTTGTAATTCAAAGTTCTTTTCTACACATAAATATCTTACCAATGATAAGGACCACAAAGAAAACAAATCACAAAATGAGAACAGCATTAGAAAGTGGTACATAAAACAATGACAAATCCAATCTCAAGCCATTTAAACCAAAAATGATCCAATGACTTAGAGTTCCATAGAGCAAATGAGAAGATTTAACCTAATACCATATTTCATGGGAATCTCAAGTTCTTTCTTTTCCAGTAATTTCTCTGCTACAAGAATCAAAATCCAATAAAAACTCTAGAACTCCGGTATCATTTGTTCTGATTTCATAAAAAGAAAAGTTCATCTATATCGTAATCCAAAACCAACTGCATTGCTGCATTAGACAGTGTAAAGTAAAAGGTTTAGACGACTAGCTCCAACAGATGATCATGGTAACCACCCAAATGGCGTTTCTCTCATTTTCTCATCCACCAAACAGAATAAACTGAAAAAAAGAAAAAATCTTGCAAAATTCAGTGAATTCAAAGGGCATGATCGAAGAAAGAACAATCACCTCCCTCATTAACACAGATCAAATATAATTCAACTAAACCATTACACAAACGCGATCAAAACTTCACAAAACAATCAATGCTTGAAGAACTCAGTTAAGAAGACTTAAAAAACAAACCCAAAATCCAAAAACCGGAAAGATCAAATCTTTGAATGTCAAAACCATACCTTTGTCACTAGCGCTGAGACTCAGCAGCAGTGAAATAGGTGTCCTGAAAGAGACAAAGGCCCTGACTTTTGATAAAGGAAATTTCAGACTCTAGAGAGTAACAAAGAAGTGACAAATTCTGAGGCTTACAGGTGTTAAAAATGGAAGGTGGGTTTTTGGAGCAGAGTGGAGGAGTGGCAGTCTGCTTCAGAAAATTGAGGTGGCCATGGCTATGGAATTTGAAAATTGAGGTGGACGGGCTTTTCAATGAAATGGATGGAGTGTGTGATAAAGAAATCGAAATTACTAAACTGTCCTTCACCTGAATTTCATGCCTTCCATTAGAATTTGATGCATTTAATACGAAAATGACAACTCATTTTCTTTCAAGGGTGGGACGGGCTTACGGTCCCATC